ATGCCTCCTTTGTTGTCACCTCATCCCTGCATGCAGGAGTATGTCATTAATTATTTGATCAGTCTTGTCTTTGTTTTCCTCCATTTGTTACGTAAAAACACTGCCATTTGCTTTGATACAGGTCCCTTGCATTTGCAGAAGTTCACAATTCCCTGTGCTTCCAGGAGGTTGCTCAGTTTAAAGAGATCCCATCTGGGCTTTACTCCAAACTGATTCTTCCTTTCCATTTGTTCAGCTGCAGTATATTTGGCAAGGGTACAGGGATCCTGCAGTCCAGAAACCCATGTGGGGACAGTGAGGCAGTGTTTGGGGTGGGGGAAGCAGGCACGAATGTGCATCCCACATTTGATGGGAAGGCAGAAGTTCCTTATGTTAAAAGGTGCTTCTACCTTTTAGCGTTGCCCAAAAAATCACCAAAGACCATTCCATCAGTGGGGTTGACCCACTCTGGTGCCAGTAAATATATCTGATCAAAACCAGACAGGATTCTGGGGGTGTAGTTATTTGCATACACATCAAATACTGAAATATAACTGAACTGACTCAGTGGCTACACAAAGGTGGCATTCCCTCTGTTCTGCAGAAGGGACAGTAAAGAATGGGCTGTTGGAGAAAGACAGGTTAAAATACAGTTTAAAAAGAGAAGGCTTCTAAGCTGTATAGTGGTTAACATGCATGGAGAGTTCTGTTAAAGTACCACCCAGAACTCTCAGGTGTGTTAAGAAGCTGGACCTCAGGACATGAGTGTTGCACATATCTAGACAGCATGAGATAAGAAAGCAAACAAAGCAAGGATTTAAGATCTGCCCTGTCCAGAGGATTTTCCTGTTTCCTGTGTGCAAAATCATGGCCATTGCCTTCTAAAACTGGCCATTTATGCTGGCTTCTAGGAAATAACATGCAGCCACAGATATGGCCAGCGTCAAATGGTGGGAGCAGCAGAACTCAGAAGCAGAATGAGGAGCAGCGCAGAGCCCCTCCGCCAGCAGTGAGCTGCTGTTGGGTCCACGCAGGGGGACAAGGTGACCTTTGCTTCAGGGCCACATTCCCAGGTCACTGCAGGTGATTCCTCTTGGCAGCTATCACAGGGAGGATACTCTGACCTGCACTTTGTTGGCTGTCTGTGAATGCTGGCAAACTGCCCCTTGTGTGCACCATGGCTGGCACTGCACCATGGCAGTGCTGCAGCCGGGCTGGACGTTCGGCTGCACAACTGCCCCTTCCTGTGTCCAACACACTGCTGGTACGTGCAAATGTGATGGCTGCTACTGCACAAGCTGCTTATGCATTTGCATGGTTACAAGCGAGACCTTAACTTATCTGTGCTTCGGCTTCCCTGCGCAAAATGGGGATGATAATAACACTTGCTCATTTTGCAGAAGGGCTCTGCAGTTCAGTTCATGAATATCAAGTAGTTTGAGATCCTCTGATGGAAGGCGCTATAGATGGACAAAAGGCCACTAATGGCACAAAGCTGACTAAGTCCCGAGCAGTAGTCTCAGCCAGTGGCACTGTGTTTGCTAATCCAAGTGTGTAATCAGCGTATACAGAGGCGACATGTTGGTTCAGGCAGTGTAATACACAACTTCAAAGCGCTCTCCCAGTGCGAGCTCCTGCTTCCCGAGGGGGGCAGTCGTTGGCTCTGCACAGTGTCTGTGCACAGTGTCTGCAGCCACAAAGGGCTGTCAATGCGCACATGAACATGGAGAGCTGCCTGGCAGCAGGAGCACAGGATGGGTGTTTGTCTAAATACAGAGACGGTGCTGCTCCCTGGAACAGGAAACATCTCCATGTCCCTCCTCCCTCCCCACCTCTGGCTGTCAGCTCTTCCAAATGAAGTCCCCGCTTTGTTTTCCTGATTTCCATTTTGTATCCTAAAATATTCACTCCAAGTTCCGCTTGACAGACATCCCTAATCTAATCTCCATGTCTGCTTTCTAATTTTCACAGTCAGGATAAAACAAATTGGCTGGCGTTAATTGCCTGTGCAGCGGCCTGGAGCTTTGAGCCGTGATTTACGAGCTCGGAGCAGGCGCTCTGCAACACATTTTTCTTAATTTATTTTTAATGAGTCTCTCAATTAATTTTCTTGGAAACATCTTAATGATGTTAGAGGCGGTGTTAATGAGGTTTGTACCAGTGCTTCATTTTGCGTATTTTCAAGTACTGAATGGCATCCCAAACCAGCACCTAGTTCTAAACCAGAGAAAAGGCTGGAGAAAGGTCCCCTGCTCAGCTAACACTGCTCTCTCGGGTTAGGCTACCAGGCTGCATTGGGTGGTGGGTGATTTAGAACATTGAGATGAAGCCAGCCAGGCTCACAGGGACAGGGTGACCTCAGGAGGAGCAAGGGGTTGCGCTGGGGCACGGCTCACGGCCGGATGCTTCCTAAGGGATGTGATCAGGGCCTGGGCTCCGCGCCTGTCCTCAGCTCCTGGGCTTGGCTCTGTGCCGGCATGCCCCACAACTGGGCATCTCGTTGTGTCTCCCCAGCCAGATCGGGTGGGAGGCAGCACCCTGGGTCATGGGGCTTGCTGGGGCACAGGGCCAGGCCGCCTGGGGCTGTGGGTGCTCGGGGTGTCTCTGCAGCTCACAGGCTCCCCAGTCGTTGCTAGTGCATGTGCGGGTTAGAGGTAGCAGCTGATTGCCTTTGTTTTCTCTCAGCATGTCAGTGTTCATTAAACTGGAGGGGAATGAAAAAGGATTCACTTTTGTCCCAGCCAGAATGTGGCAGCTGTTTAATTTCAATTAACGTGGTACTGAAAAGAATAACATTACTGCAGTAATTAAAGTGAGACAGCTCCCACCCCAGCCCTGTGCAGCGCTGCTCAGCAGAGTCCAGTTTGAATTCCCATCCTCCCAGCACTAGGCGAGCACCAGCAGGCGGCTGTGGGTCAGGCCTGTGGGGCTGCCCCGCAGGCTCACAAGGAGCTGGAGCAGGGCTGAGCACTCCCAGCCAGCCCCAAGGCAGCAGGATTGGCAGCACATCAGCTGCAGCAAGTGAGAAAGCCACATAAGCAGCAGCTGCAAGTGGACCAAGGTGCTGCTGGCTGCATGTGGGTGCTCTCTGCTGCAAGATGGCAGTGCAATGCCAGGCTGTGCTGAGCTCTGCTGAGCTGTGAGCCATGTGACAGGCAGAACTGTGCCAGGCGAGTGGTTGGAGCTGCTCAGAGCTCAGTCCCAGTATGGGTGCAACATGTGGGGTGCTGCCAGGGGAGGGCAACCAGCTATAATTAAAGCAGCAGTAGTGCTGTGACCAAGGCAGAGGGTGGCACCATGGGGGTTCCGTGTCCTGGCTGCCCCTGGCTGAACAACACTGAAACCCACAGAGAGCCCCCTGTTCCCCTGCACTGGCAGAAATTAGGGCTAAACTCAGTAGCATTGTGCATGGCACGGTTTAAGTGGCTCTGCTTGGGGGACTGTTGGTGCTGCATCTGTCCCACTGCCTGTGGCTGCAACTCGCTAGTGCAGCAGGTCGTCATGGCAACTGATGGTTCCTATGACTGTACATCTGTGTTCACCTCCTGGGCCCAGCCTGGCCTTGGCAGTTCCCATTAGAAAGCTTACCTGTGAAACTGCACGAGCACCAGGGAGCGGCAACAGCACCGGGAGCTCCAGGGTGCAGGCAGAGTCAGCGGCTGGTGTGTGCCCCAGGCACCCTTGTGCAGCCGCACTCAAGGTGGTGCTGGCACCCGGTGACACCAGCGCTGCCACCTGCATGTCATGCGGCCCTCGCAGTGCAGGCAGAGCAGCCACCCTGTGCCTGGAGCTGATGAGCCACAAGGGTGCTGACCGGGGTTGCAAGGCTCCTCCAAACTCAGCACCTCGTACCCCACTGCAGCAGCAGCAAAACCATCCACTGTGCCTCTATGGACTGCACTTCACACATCTGCACTGCTACACCCATCTACACTGAACTAGCACTGCCTCTCCCTATCTGGCCACCATTGCACATGGTCCTTTGGGAGGTGAATGTATTGCTCCCCAGCTCCCCCTTGCTACAGGGTGCCCCTCAGATCGAGCAGGTTTCCTGTGCCCCAGGAACCGGCCAGAAGTTACTGCCTGCCAAGGCAGGCACGGATACCTCCTGCCAGCATCAGCCCATCCACTGTGCACCCTTCTCCTAGAACCCCTGGGTGCAGTTTCCTTGGCAGGGTTTCCCTTTTCAAAAGCACTCGCCCTCTCCCCAGCAGGTCAGTGTCACGTGCACCTGCAGGTTTGGGTTTCTGTGGACCCCCAGCTGCAGCGGGGCTGGCAGCCAGGCTCAGCCCCATCCTCAGAGCTCCTCCTCACCCGTGGGTGCTGTGCTTCCTCCAGGAAGCTTCTGGGGCACACTCAGCCTCCACACAGAGACTGAGAGCAGAGAGGCTGCACTGTGCAGCAACAGCACCCAGGCTACTGCCATCACTGAACCAAATTCATTCATGTTTACCATAACACACACAGGCAGAGAGTTTGTTTGGGGTTTGGGTTTTTTCTGGTGCTTTAAGAGGGGAAAAAAAACAGTTCTCCCTCTCTGTCTAAACACTATTGATCTATGCTGGGAAGCTGCAGGGACAGGGTAGGGCATGGAGAAATTGAAATTTCATTTCTGACAACCTGTTTCTGTTATTTTTACCTTTCAGGACAGGGAGAAGCACGGCGCAGCGGCCTGGGTCCATGTGATCAATGGCTCCCCTGAGAGCTGGGCGCAGCGTGCCCTGGGGCCGGCCCCGGGCCAGAGCACACACAGGGCAGCACAGGGGCAGGCAGCACAGAGAGGGGTATGCAGGGGTAGCGTGAGCCTCGTGTGAGGCCCAGCCGTGGCCAAGGAGACACCCTCACCCGCGGGGGTTCTCTGGTGCAGGAGGTCACCAGGTTCTGGTTCTGGGCAGTCTCCAGACCGCGGCCAGGCCCGGGCTGCAGGGCAGGGTGGTGCCTGGCCCTGCGGGGACAGGGCCCGGCAGCATGGCACGGGAGGGCTGCAGTGAGGACACGGGCAGCGGCGGGGCAGTGCTGCCATGGAGGTGGTGATGGGCAAGGTACTGCTGAAGGGTGGCACAGGCCAGGCTGAAGGAGTCCCCAACCCTTGGCCATGTGCTTACATCTTGGGCAAGGCACCATGCCTGCCCAGCAGCCTGCATGTGGGAACTGCTGGTGATCAGTGCTCAGGGACAGGCAGGATATATCCTGCCAGCCACATGTGGGACGAGTCAGCACCTCACCCTGTATGAAGCACCCTCGACATGGGGCAGGCATGGCTGGCATGGCCCAGTAAACCCAGCTGAGCAGAACTGAAAGACTGCAGCTCCTAAGGGCCCCACTGACACTCTGGGCACCATCCCAGTCCTGGGCACCCACAGGTCAGTGATGCACCTCTCCCCAGGAACAGAAGGATGAGGCAGTGCAGACAGAGGTCACCTTTGATGTGGCTGCCCATGGCCATGCGGACACCAGCTACAACATCCTGGAGAAGCACACACTGGTGCTGGAACAGGTCAGTGCTGGCAGACAGGGGCCAGCACACAGCATAGAGCAGTGCTGCTCACATAGGCAATGGTAGATGCAGAGATGAGGTGCTGCAGGCAGAAGAGAACAGCCAAGAAGCGCTGGGACCGACGCAGAACACAGCTGGGGCGGGCAGCTGAGTCAGGCAGTGCTGAGGAAGTGGGGTGAGCAAGCAGGGGGCATCCAAGGCCTCTGGGCTGGAACATGTGAAGGCTGGAGCCTGCAGCCAGCTGCCCTGAGCTGCCACAGTCTTGGTGGCTCCAGCCAGAGGTGCAGCCCAGTGCTGCCCCAGTGGCAGAGAGCAGCAGCAAGGAGACATCTGGCACCCATAAAGGCCATCGTACATGTGGCTGGAGGATGAGGCACAAAAGGACCCCAGGAGGCAGCAGGCAGTGCCTGCCATCAGTTACTGCATGTTCACACACTGCAACACTCTGTCCATCCTGGTGTAACAATGGGGAATGGCAAGACCCTGCGGTCACCAGAAGCTCCCTGTGCTTTTGGGTCATCACCAGTTGCAGAGTTAAGGGGCAGACAGGGTTTGCCTGGGCAGTCCTGGGAAGAAGGATGGGCAGGCCCTGAGCCTGCGGGGAAGCAGCCAGGGGGGCACGGGAGCCACAAATGCCTCAGAACCACAGTGTCTCATCCCTGGGACAGGGGGAGGCAGTGCCAGCCACGCTGTCTCAAGCAGCCAGATTAGGCACTGCCAGCCTGGACTCCCTGCAGCGCACAGGGGAGCAGCCGTGCCTGGGGAAGGACCCACAGCAGGATGAGGGCTGTGAGGTGGTAGCTGTGCTGCGAGCACTGCGGGAGGAAGCAGCCAGCAGCAGAGCAGAGCAGGCTCAGAGCAGGTGAGCCACACACAGCCGGAGCCCAGCAGGGCTCTCCCTGTGCCTGCTCCATCACGAGCAGGCAGCCGGGTGCTGCAGCAGCTCAGGCTTTGCCCGTGCCCACAGGGAGCTGGCAGAGCAGCTCAAGGCAGAGCTGAACCAGTGGCAGTGGAAGCATCAGGTGGCCCTCGAGCAGGCACTGCAACACATGCACGCTGTGGCCCATGCTGCAGAGGAGCTGCAGAGGAGCCAGAAACAGCTCCAAACCCTGAGGGAGCAGGTAGTTAGCAGGCAGGACCTGCTGTAGGGTCCCTCCGTCAGCCTGGCCCCAGTCGTCTCTGCCCCTGTAGGTAACCTAGGGCTCTCCCAGTGGCAGCAGCAGGCTGCCACACCATGAGAGCTGCAAGGGGAGCTGCACTGTCAGTAGGATGGGAAAGAAAAGCTGTAGCAAGAGCTGCTGCAGGCAAAGGAGTGGACGAGCACCCTCAAGAGAGTTAATAAAGCCCTGCACCAAAGCCTATGCTGCAAGAGTGGACAGTGAGCTGGGATCAGCAGCAGGAGAGCGGGCACAGACCTCACTTGACCACAGCAATGCTGCATTCCCTGATGCGTTGCCTTCTCTCAGCTGGGGACACAGGAGGAGCAGAGCCAGGGCCTGCAGCATCACCTGGCTCAGCTGCAAGAAGAGCTGAGAGCCACCCAGGCCCTGGAGCAGCAAAATCTGCAGCAGCTGAGTGAGGCCAAGGAGACCATGCAGGTCCTGCACCAAGAAGTGGCCTCCAGCAGAAAGCACATGGCAGAGCTGCTGGAGCAGGTGACGGCAGGGACAGGGCAGTGGTAGGGCAGCCGTTGGTGCAGGGCTCACTCTGGCCCTGGGTAGCCCAGCCTGCCATGGCCTGGCCAGCACCCTCTCTGCCCCCTGACACTGCACACAGGTGAGGGAGATCACCACCTTGCAGGCACAGCTGGCCCAGGCCCAGCAAGAGAAAGCCAAGCAAGAGGAGATCGCAGCCTATGTGAAGCAGAAGCAGCAGCTCCACTGGGAGCTGAGGAAGCTGCAGGGGTCCCAGGAGCAGTGTAAGAAAGAGGTAAGCATGTCCTGGGCCTTCCCACAGGGCACCAGGAGTCTATGCTCAGCCTGTGTCCCTCTCACTGCTTCTCTGTGACACCAACAGGCCCATTCCCTCCAGGAGACGCTACGTGAGCTGAGGAGCCGAGCCCAGTACTGGCAAGAGCTATACAAGAACAGTGCCCAAGCTCTGGATATGCGAGAAGAGGAACTAGTTATTTGCAAGGTGGAACTGGCTTTCCTCAAGGAAGAGCTCAGCAAGGCCATGGAGCAGGTGCAGGTTAGAAAGAGGCAGCACCACAGCCCAAGAGCAGGAGCAAAGGATGGGCCCCTAGTACCAGGGAATGACAAACAGATCTGGGTCCACAGGCAGCGGAGAGGCGGAAAGGGAAGGACAGGCGACAGCATTCTGCAGCTCCCAGGCTGCCAAGGGAGGAAGCCAAGGGTCTGACAGCAGCAAAGCACACCACCTTCTCCTTATAGTACCCCTCCTCACTCAGCTGCTAGGAATCACCTCAGCATTGAGCTACCATGCTAGAAGAGCAGTTCAGGGCAGTAGTTCTGAGGTTAACAGTGGTGCTCCAAAGCAGGTCTCCTGAGGCACCACCCTCTCAACCCTCTGCTCAGCCCAGGCCACTGGTCCAGCACAGCCTGGGTTCTCCAATTGCCCTCAGCCCTTAGCTCACTGAGGCTGGGAAGAGCAGTTGCAGCCACTGCGACTACACATGGCAGTGTGGTCACTCTTCCCAGGTGAAAACCCTGCGCTTTGCCCGAGCTCTGGCATGCTCCAACGGTGGCAGACTGCACAAGGAAACGGAGCTGTTGCTGGTCAACATCAGCCAGTGTGTGAAGGAGCCAACGTGAGTGAGAAGCCTTGCTAAAACACAGGGGCAGGTGGCTGCCGCCTTCTCACACCGAGTCACCCAGCTCATACCTTGTTTTCAGGCATTCAAACGAGAAACTAGGGAACAAGATCCAGTGGGAAATCAAGCAGACTGCAGAGCTGCCAGGTGGAAAGAAGTAAGTTCTGAACACAGGAGTGAAGCTGAGCTATCCCAAACAGCAGTTACTGCTGCTGGCAGGAATATATGGGATAGATGGACAACTGCTGGACTAGCCAAGTTCCTGAAATGCCAGCAGATCAGGGTTGTCTCTGCATCATTGCATCCCCTCATTTCCTCTCCCTTTCCTCCAGGCATGTTCAAGACACACTGCAGGAAGAAGACACATACCTCGTGGTTGGAACAGATGAGCAGCAGCACCAGTGTGAGCAGCTGAAGGTGAGAATTCCTGGCACAGCCTGGCTTGAAACAGGGTTGGCCCTGTGGGCAGTTGAGCACAGGCTGTGGGAGAACTGCCTTTGCCCTCTAGGTCAGTGTAACGCTGTGCCTTGTCCTGTGTCCTACAGGGCAACAACTTCACATTACCAGCCCCACACAATTCTGCAGGGCTGTCTCCACCCCCCTCTTGCCCAAGGGACAGGAAACAGCGCAAAACAAAGCAAGGATTAGACAACTTTTAAACAAATAAAGTCTTTTCTGTTCTGTAGCAAAATCAGTGCCAAGCACCATATCTTTTCTGGGCCACAAGCTGTAGAGTGCCTCAGAGAGCACAGTGATCAGAGAGGCTGGCCACACTCCTAAGACTCAGCTTCTCCTGAAAGTCTTTAAGCTTCGAAGCAACGGGCACTGCTGCCTTAGAGGCCAAAGCGTGCTGGAGTGTGTCGTGGTGTCAGGGGCTCGCCCTGGTCCTTCCGCCCAGGGGTGTAGATTTTAGTAGATCTGCCAGGAGAGAACAAGGGTGATTAGTGGAATACGTAACTTTTCCCTGCACCACAGCACCCGTGAAAAAGGTGGCGTGCTCCATGCAGCTCACTACTCCTGCTCCTCAGCAGGCATTCCATGGCCAGGCAGGGCCAGCACCTACCTGGCACTGCCCAGAGGGTTGCGGCGCTCCTGCTCCTCCCGGCGGGCACGCAGCTGCTCCTCGGCCAGCGCCATCTCCTCCTCCATGGCAGACACTTCCTCCTTGGCACGGCGGCGGTTCTCCTGGAGCAGGGCAGGGGAGGTCAGCGAAAGGCAGAGCTGGCCAGCAGCAGACTCTCTGCAGGCCACAGGCCTGCTCCCTCCAAGTCAAAGAGCACACACCCTGCTGTAGAGCAGGTATGCAGTGGGCCTGCTGTCTGCCAGCTCATCCTGCACAGGAAACTCACCTGACGTGACTTGCCAGCATGCTTGATACTGTAGAACATGGGGCCCAGCTCTGCCAGCCACTCTCCATCCACAGCAGTGACACACTGCATGTATTCCTGCAGGGACAGAGGAAAAGCCAGAGTAGCAGGATGGCACTTTTGCAGCCTGGGCACCATTTCCAGAGCCATGGCAGCTCCCCCCCCTCTCCCACTTGCTGATGGCACTTCTCGTGCTGGGGCTACACCCCTTCCAGATCATTCCTGCCAGCCTCAGAAGCTGCTATGGGCTGGACTTGGTGAGACTGCAAAGAAGTTCAAACATGTCCCACATAGGTCAGGAAGAAATACTGGCAAAAGAACAAACAGGACTCTGCAGATGACATAGACATGCCTAGTTGGTATAGATGAGAAATGCTGATAACTGCCCCTCCAACAACTCCTAGTATCACAGGAAAGCCCTCCCACCTCCCTCATCATGAGAGTACTCATCAGCCTTTTGGCTAGCCCTCAGCTCAAGCTCACCTTGGTGGTCATGACCAACTCATGATACACAATGTAGTCTGGTGTGTAGCCCATGCCAAACAGAGAGCTTGTAGGGTGCAGGTGGCAAGGCATGCCTGTACGGATGTTCACATACTCCCCAATGCCCTGCAAAGAGGAGTACTGTCAGTGCCCCAGCTCCCAGACAGGGCTTTTCAGCCTCAGACCAGCAGACACACCTCTCACCTTAAGCTTTGCAGCTTGATGGAAATACGCAGCACAGATGCACTTCCTGACAATATCCCAGTCAGTACCACAGGATGCCAGGCTCATCCGCTGCTGCACCATGATGTCCTTGAGCTGGGCACGCACCTCCCGCACCTGCAGGGGCGTGTGGCAGTCAGACCCTTCTCCTGTGTAATGCTCCCACCCACAGCCTCATTGCCACAGCCTCACCTTCCGCATGGCCTTGGCATGGATGAAGTGCTGGTTGCACCACAATGTGGAATAGCTGTTGTTCTTCCACTGCAGGTAAACATTCAGGTAAGTCAAGTGATCACTCTCGGGAACAGCAAATTTCTCCCGCACTTGGTCACTCTCCTCCTCTCGGCCCTGAAGGGTGAGAAAAGAACACAGGTTAGTCAAATTATCAGCGGAAAGCCCCAGACTGCTGAAAGAGCAAACGTACCTTAGGCCGATAAAAGATGGCAGGTACAGACAACATGGAGACAATAAGCAAGATCTCAGAGCTGCAACCCATATCACAGGAGACAATGAGCATTTTGGAGAGCGCAGGATCCAGTGGAAACTCCACCATGAGACGTCCTGTTGAGGTCAGACCACCTATAGGAACAGCACAGGGGTCAGCAGCTAGGCAGGTCCCAGTCCCATGGGCTGACGCTTGCCCCAGCAGCCAAAATACCAGTGTTATCGAGGGCTCCCAGGATCCATAGCTGATACATGGAGTTAAGCATGTTGTCCTCAGGGGGCGGATCCATGAAGTGGAACTGCAGCAGGTCTTGAACACCCAGGGACTTGAGCAAAAGCACCACATTGGCAAGGTTGGTGCGCTGGATCTCAGGCACTGTGGTTGTCAGGAGCTCATTCTTGTAGGCACTTTGGGTGTACAGCCTGGAGAAGAGATGCCAAGAGCATGCTGCTCACATTCAGGCCATGGTGTCCACTACTGACTCACCCACCGCTGCCCACCCCAGCCAGCAGGACATCAGAGAAGAACCTCTACCCTGGCCAACATGTGGCCTCCCCAGCGCCTAAGGGTACCTGTGCTGCAGCACAGTGCACACGCCTCACAAGCACTGTAATTTCCTGGGCACAGACCAGCCTCAAAGCAATGCACTGAGAAAGCTGCTTGGCTTGGCTGTTATCCTCACAGGATCAAGGGCAGAACAGCCACAAGTGAAGACAGGCAAGGAAAGAAACCAGAGCATGGCGTTTCCTCTGTATGGTCACTGGGTCCAAAAGAGAAGGGCTCAAGACCTGCCTACTGCTCTCGTACCCCCAAAAGTTCAAGACAGCAAACAGCTCCAGTGGGAAAAAAGTATGTATAACCTGACGCCAAGCTGCAGACAGGACAGGAACAGGAACACCATTAAATGCCTACCTGAAGCAGTGGCCTGGGCCCGTTCGGCCAGCTCGGCCTGCCCTCTGGTTGGCATTTGCTTGACTGATGGGGTAGATCTGCAGTGCATCCATGCCTATACGGGGGTTGAAAACCTGCAGGACATAAGCAGAACAGACTGAAGAAAGAGAAAGGCTGGGTCACTACCCAGTCACAGAACCCCCTCAAACCAAACCCAGAAATGACAGACATAAATAGTACAGGAAATCTTGGCTTACCTTCAACTTGCAATAGCCAGAGTCAATCACAAACATGATGCCGTCCACTGTTAGTGAGGTCTCTGCAATGTTGGTGGCAACAATGCACTTCCTGACCCCATCTGGAGCCTGCAAGCATACTGCATGTCAGTCACAACCCGAGGCAAGGGCCTTTGCCTTGCAGGGAGCATGCAGGGCAGTAATACAGAGCCCAGAAGGACAGGGGTGATTCTTGGAAAGTTGAGGGAGTTACATCCTTTCTCTCACTCTCCACATGCAATACAAAAGGCATGCCTGCACCTCTCGCTACCTCAGTAGTCTTCCCTGTACTAGTTTCTCCTGTTCCCACCCCTACCACAGAGCACACACAGCACCTTCTGGAAAATCTTGGCCTGCAAGTCCGATGGTAGCTGCGAATAAATAGGCAGAACAGCAAGCGCAGGCGCCTTCTCCAGCTCTTCAAGATGCTCTATGATTTGCTCTGAGGTCACCTAGGCAAAAGAGGGGTGTAACCATAAGATGGGGTGTAACCATAAACAACAAGGGGGTAGGATAGTGCCTACCCTTCCAGCTCACCTCTATGTCCTCCTGGCCAGGCATGAAGATGAGGATGTCTCCAGGAGCACCAGACAAATGGACCTGCAGGGCTTGTTTCACTGCAGCCTCCACATAATCCTCCTGTGGGGTCTGAAAGGCACACCCAGATTTCAGACATCAATATCTGACCTGCCCAACCCTTTGTGCAAGACTGCATCACAGCACAGCTTCTCCTCCTCTATCCTTTTGACCACCACAGAGTGCTGTACACCCAAGAACCAACCCCCTTCTGTCACAACAGAACTTCCCTCTGCAACATTGACCATACCTTGCTGAAAAGAATATCAACAGGGAAGGTGCGCCCAGGAATGTGGAAAATGGGAACGTTTCCAAAGAAGGAGGCAAACTTATCCGCATCCATGGTGGCTGAGGTGACAACAAGCTTCAGATCTGAACGTCGGGACACCACCTAGAAAGCAGATGAAAGAAACAGTAAGAAAAGGGCCCTTGGGCATGGCTGCAGGATGCTTCTATTGTTATTGAGACAACAGCACAGGACAGAGCTTCTGCTGTACTCTAGTCACTGGCTGTTAATGCCAGGGAACACAGATGCGGTTAAGCTTACTTAACTGCTCTGTGCAGTTAAGTAAGACCAACCTTGGTCCAGGAAGCCTTAAGCCAGCAAAGATCTCTGTACCTAGTGACAGCTAGCCAGCAAGCTTCTGGCAGCGCTTCTGGCACTAGGGGAGATTTAACAGCTAATTAAAACTAGGGGTTAGAACCACAGGCTAGGATGGTGGAGCAGCAAATGGAGAGATGTGGCAGAGCTGCTTCCTTCTCCCAGACCTGGTAGAGAAGGCCTGTTCCTGTCAATACTTTGCATTAAGACCAGCTCATGTCCTCTGTGCTGCTGTTGTCCTGTCCAGGCTCACACATACCTCCCGAAGCAAGCCAAAGAGTACGTCCGTATTGAGCGAGCGCTCATGTGCCTCATCCATGATGATAGCACTGTAGTTGTCCAGGTCAGGCTCTCGCAGGGACTCACGAAGAAGGATCCCATCTGTCATGTATTTGATCAATGTCTTCTCGGACGTGCAGTCCTCAAAGCGGATGGCGTAGCCCACCTGGGAGGGTAGAGATACAAGCAGGTCTCCGAACAGTCCCGTGCGTTCGCTGTCCTCAGCCCACAGCCCTGCACCCACTGCCAGGCTCACCTCCTCCCCAAGCCGCACGCCCATCTCCTCACTGACCCGCTTGGCAACGGACATGGCTGCCACCCTGCGGGGCTGCGTGCAGCCAATCATGCCGTAGCTGGTGTACCCATCCTCATGCAGGTACTGTGTCAGCTGTGTTGTCTTCCCGCTCCCCGTCTCCCCCACCACAATCACAATGCTGTTGTCTCTGAAGAAAGGGAAAAAGTATTTCTTCACACACCATAAAGGGCTTTAGCACTCACAGCCCTTGTTGGTCAGCCAAGCATCACCCCACTCAGACAGAAGAACTGCCACCA